GAATTTGTTCTCTATAATTTGCACTAATAAGTAGCTGAATAATCTGTACTAAAAATACAATACCAAGCCAATGGCGAACCTGTAAACTAATTGACTTCAGTGCAATCCAATTGCAGTGTTCCAAAGACTAGCTTTAGAGAAGCTGTGACAATGGAAAAATAGGTATGAATGGAGTTACTATGAAGTTTATGGTAGTCAGTACACTAACATTGTCAGCAAGGATGTCAATTGTGCCTCAAATTGTAGTCAAATCAACAGAAACAATAAGAGGGGGCAACTGAAACTGCACTCATTCAGAAGAATATAACAGTCACAGAGCAAAATAATAGAATAGGCAACAACTGCAGATTTACATTAGGGTCAACTGAAAATTTAAAACACTTGAGCACATCCAGAAAATACTGCTAAAAGTATCATTTATAGTCAGTCACTCGATCTGTTATAACATTTGAGGATAGGACAGATAGATATTTTTTTATACTTGGAGGTACCGCCAGATAAACATTTGAGGATAGGGCAGAACTATCACTCTTCACTCTTAATTAAAAAGTTGCCCTTTTCACGAAATTCTGGGTTCAATACAGTTTCAACACATTTCCACTAATATTCTACATCAGAACTAATTTGATGGTTCCATCATTTCTTTTTCTTGCCAAACAGAAATTATAGTTGACAATCTATTTGGCTTTACAAATTTGAGCAAGTGATCATATAGACTCCTCGATGTCAGTACTATACATCTTTTTATAGCTAGTTGTAGAAATACAAATTCCTTTTAAACAGGAGTTTGCTGAATGAAATGATGCTTACATGGTTGATCTATTGCTATGAAGTGTCAATGCATCAGCTAAAGAAAGGAGCCTGCCACTAACTAATGCTGCCCTTGATTGTATAACAGAATCAGATCAGGAAACACTGCACAAGGACCAAAAGAAAAGACAACATATAATAGCTGAAAACATAACAGAAGGAAAAAACAGAGTATAAGTGAAAGTGACCCTATAAATTGGTTGGTAGAGGCAAGTTTCTTAGGATCTGAATTCTGAGTCCAATAGAGCCTGTTTTGTAACGGTTTTAAAAAAATATGTGTACACTCATAACAAAACCATGCAACCTAAAATGAAATGAGTAGCTTTTTTGAGAATTGCTTATGTCCTATGATACTTTCTTGGACAGAACATCAGGAGTGAAGAAGAGTTGCAAAGGCCAGTCGACAGAATATTCAAGAACAATACTATCCCACCCATCAAGTACCAGTGCGATGCAGCTTTTCCTTGTGAAGGAAGCTCTGAAGCATTAGATTTTTGAAGATCTTTCTGAGACGTGCTACTTTTCATACCATATGATAGCTCCTACAAGACATAAGCTTACAATGAGCCATGGTCTAACAACCCAAACTGACTACTCAGTGAACAGAAAGCACAGGCAGGTCGGTATCTTACTTTAATATAATGGCACAACATCTACCTGACTAACAAAGTTTTCAATGGCAGCAAAAAGATCAGTGATATTGCTACTTGGCCAGATATACTAAGTAAAAAAACAGAGAAGCCAGTGATATGTATTTCAGTATGTGCCAACATGAAAAAAAGAGATGTTCACCCGACTATGTAGGTCCAGTGCAAATTTGCATGGTCTGATGTGTGATATTGCTTCTATTACGATAAACTATCATCAATTAATAGATCAAAGGAAGTGACTGTCCAATCAGAGTGGATGTTGCAGTGTAGAACAGCCATCCAGCACTGGCAAATTGTGATCATGCCTATATCTAGGTACATGAAGCAAAGTTTTTATGTACAGATCACAGGTTCCTAATGACATTACTAGACATTTGTTGATTTTTTTCTCCATAGCAAATGATGCACTGAATAAGTGATGAACCACTCCTAGGCATGAAGAATGCAGAGTCTAGAACTCAAAATTATGAAGAGTCTCTAATAATTTATCATTAGTGACGTGTTTTGATTTCTGACCATGGGCAAGTTCTAATGAGTGACGCGTTCCATTTACACGTGTCACCGATATGAAATTAGTGACGTGTTTTAATTGCAGGTCACTGATGAAGGTGTCTCCTTTGTGCTGTTTTGGCATAGCGTTCCAGCCATCGTCAGATGTGTAGTTGGGTGACCTTTTATTTTTCAGCTAGCTAGCTAGCTAGCGCCATGGATCGGTGTCACATACAGTAGCCTACTCTGTATATATATATACGTACCTGGTTTTTTTGATTCATGCATTTTAATTCGGTGACACGGTTAATTAATTCAGTTATATTTCTTTTCCAATCCGTTTCGGATGTTTAATTTAATTTGAGACTTTTGCTATTTATCTGTCGACATATATTTTATGTACTAAATCTGTCATATTTCTACACGTCGGATTGTGCTTTAGGATTTGTGTTACAACTGTCACTTCAACGGGTTTGTAACTATTGGGTCGCATTTATAAAAAATCTAACAGATTTGACCACACGAAATCTGTCTACAGATAACTAGACACTCCCTTAATTTGATGCAACCTGTTGTTCGTGTGTTTCAAAGCCTGTCAACAACCGCGTGTTCACAGCCCTGAAAACAACCGCAATCAACAGGAAAAGAAATATAATTGAGTGTTTACAGGTGTATCAACACACGAATTTCAGACCATGAGATTTTAATCTGGCAGCCTATTGAATTCTATTGTTCCGTTTGATGTCTGTTGTTCAAGTGCATTTTGGCCGATGCTCCAGATTATAGACTTATGATGAACGCACGTGCCACAACCTTCTTTAGTGAATCGGAGCAGCATAAAAAAATCATTACGTGAAAAATGCAGCTGCAGAAATAACAAATTGAAAGAAAACATGTTTGAAAAATAAGGACAAATTTAATTTTAAAAGGTCCTAAAAATCATTACAACTAATTATTAGACATGCCACGACCCTAATTACGAAGCAACAAAAATACAAACTCCTGCATTGTGACCATATAAAAGAACAAGTTGCCATCTGGAGGCTCAACTATAAATACAATCCCTAAAAATAAAAAAAGAACAAGCTGCCAACCGGGGGCTAAACAAAAATTAGTAACATAACTGACAGTTATGTAAAGATCGCACCACCACCTATACTTTGATGTGTTCACTCGCATATGGGTCTCGGTTCGTTGTCGTATGTGGGTCGCTGCTAAAGCCAATCTGCTACCAGAGACGCTGTGTTTCACTATCCAGGTCTCTGAAAATATTTTATACACGATACATTTGGAATTTTGATTGAGCCTAAAATAAAAAATGGATGATGCAACCCTAATCAATATGGACGATGCAACAACATTAACCAACATGCACGAGTATACGGGATCATGTTTAATAAGAATTATAAAAAGTAGCGACATGAAAAGACAGTTGGTCAAATCCATAGTCCAAAACAATATGATAGTTGGCCATTATATATCTACCGCGGTCCTAATTAGGAAGCAACAAAAACATAGACTCCTATGTAGCGAACATATACAAGAACAAGCTGCTAATTGGTGCGACAAATTTTAAAAACAACCCAAAAACACCAAAAATAAAAACAAAACAATCTGCCAATAAATGCGGGCAAATTTTAAAAACGTCCCCACAACAACAACAATACAACAAAACAAGCTTGCAATTGGGAGGATATTTTTTTTTCAAAAAAAGCTACAATAACACAACAAAACAAGCTGTTAATTAGGAGCCAAATTATAAAAACAATCCCTAACAACAAGAATAAAAAAAAGCTACCAACTGGGGGCCAAATTAGAAATAACCCAAAACAACAAGAATAAAAAAAATAAAGCTGCCAACTGGGAGGCAAATTGCAAAAACAACCACAAACAACAAGAACGAAAAAAAGAAGCTGCTGCCAACTAATGGCCAAATTATAAAACAACCCTGAACAACAACAAAGAAAACAACTGCCAACGGAGGGCCAAAAAATGATCCGAGGTCTCCATGACTAAAGCCTTTGCTAGGGTTCTAGGGTATTTGATTGTCCAAGAGGAAGATGTGAAGAATCATTCTAGCCTTTCCAAAAGGGGATTAAATTGCTTGTTAGACCAGGTAAAATGTCTCCCATGGAGTGGGATCTCAATGACTCCCAAAGCACTAATAGCCTCATTAAACCGATCCATTTCATTAACATCACCACCATACCTATTCCTGTCTTCTGGTTTCTAATGAGATTGAAGTCTCCCACAATTAGTCAGTCTATGTGGTCTGGCACATGGATGTTCTTGAACCACTCAAGAAACAATCTTTTGCCACTGGGAGTACAGGGGGGGGCAAACTGTGGTTAGGATCCAGCTTTCATTGTTGAATTTTGATGTAAATTCCATTGAGATGGCAAACTCATTTTGAAAAACTTCCACACCACTAAAGATTGATCCTTTCCAAATGATAAGGATCCCACCTAAAGCTCCCACTGAAGGTTTGAATTGGAAGGAGTCAAAGGATAGGGGGCATAAATTTCTAATGAAACTGATGTCAAACAACTCTCTTTTGGTTCCCTGAAGACAAATTACATCACCGTGACTTTCCAACACCTTGTCTCTAATAGAATTCAAAATTTTTTTTGTCAGAATTCAACCCTAGCAAGTGAAAGGAATTAAAAGAAAGGTTATCGAAGACGTGCAAAATACTTTTTTTTTTTAAAATGATATGATGAATTTCGCAGCAAATTATCAATTAGGAGACGCACTTTAATTTCCCACAGTAAAAGAAAAAGAGGATCGGCTACCTTAGGGGTATATATATATATATATAAGTAGTAGGTAGTCGTCAGGCCGTATCGATAGGTGTATATATATATATATAACTACTATAACTATATATAACTATATAGCCACTTTGAGTTACGATAATTACTATATTAATTTGTTGTACGTAGCATGGTACGTAGCATGTCGTCTTCCCTAGGCGGTCTCTCCTGCTCCTGCATATAAGGACCTAGCTCGGTTCACTGTGAGCAGTTCCATCCATCCATCCATCAAGAAGCAATGGCGCAAGCTACTTCCACATCGCTTGTTCTTGCATGCCTGCTGATGGCCACCATCATGGCTCCTGGTGGCACCTCCGGTACCTCGGAGGCCCTGCCAACCACGACCGGCGGCGGTGTGCGGCCGCCTGCCACAGCGGCGACGCTGCCAACACTTGGCGGCAGGGGCGGCCTCTCCACCACCGACACGGAGGCGCCGCCAACGACGACAGGCGGGAGTGGGCACTGGCCGCCCGCAGCCATGGCGGTGACGCTGCCAACAGTAGGCGGGGGCGGCAGCGGCCTCTCCACCACGGACACGGAGGCGCCGCCCACCATGACAGGCGGCAGTGGGCACTGGCTGCCTGCAGCCACGGCGGTGACGCTGCCGCCAACGCCAACAGTAGGCGGCTGCGGCCACGGCCTCTCCACCACCACGGACACGGAGGCACTGGGCGGTGGCAAGCTGCCGCTCTGGGTCGAGCGGCTTCTGGCCCTGGGCGGAGCGCGGCCATCGCTCGGAGAAATGGTGGGGACGAAGCGCGTTGTCGTGGCCAAGAACGCCACCAGCGGCGACGGCCAGTTTGCCAGCATCACCGCTGCTTTGGCGGCGCAAGAGGACCAAATTGGTAGCGAGCAAAGCATTCTCACCATATTCATCAAGGAGGAGTGTACAATGAGACTCTAAACATCACCCGGAAGCATGTGATCCTGATCGGAGAAGGCGCCGGGAAGACGGTGATCACCGGGAACAAGAGCCACCGGTTTCACAACCTCAGCACGCCGGACACTGCTACTGTGAGTAAGTGCCGATCATCCTCACACGCGCGTCTCCTCTGTCGATCACCCATGCATGCATGAGCATGTTTCTTGACTTTGCTTGTTGCGCATGCATGGTGCAGGTGTTCATGGGAAGGGCTTCATGGCCCAGGACCTCACGATCCAGAACACGGCAGGCCCAGAGGGTCTGCAGGCAGTGGCGCTCTTGTCAAGATCGCACTTCTCCCTGGTCTACCGGTGCTCGATCGAGGGGTATCAGGATACCCTCGACGCCGACACCGGAGACCAGATGTATCTGGAGACGGACATCCACGGCACCGTGGACTTCGTGTTCGGCTACGCCAGGGCAGCCTTCCTGGGTTGCCGGCTCCTGGTTCGCAGCTCCGGCGCCAGCAAGCCCGGCGCTCACAACGTGGTTACCGCGCAGGGGCGCAACAACCCCTTGGACAGATCCGGGTTTGCGTTCCACAACTGTTCGGTCACCGCCGACGAGGGCGCCAACCTCACGGGGGTGGAGACCTTCCTCGGCCGCCCGTGGAAGGAACACTCCCACGTGATCTTCATGGAGACCTTCCTCGGCTCCATCGTCAACTTCACCGGCTGGGTGGAGTGGAACCGGAGCAACGGCCACATTCCAGACACGGTGGTGTATCTGGAGTACGCCAACTACGGGCCTGGCGCCGACACGAGCCGCCGCATCAACACCACCGCCGTGCGCGTCGTCACCGACTGCGGCGAGGCGGCGCAGTACACCGCGGACCCTTTCGTCAACGCCAGCGCCTGGATGCCCAAGGACAAGGAGGGCAGGGACATCATCCCCTACGCACGCGGCTTGATCCGCGACCCGGCGTGCCCAGCCCCTCCAACAAGGGCATGTGCTAGCAAGACCTAGCTCCTCCGACCTCCGACCTCTCCGATGTCCGACCTCCGTCCTCATCATCATCGAGCAGTCCGGCCATCTCCATCAGCGACGACGACAGATCCATGTCCATGCTTGTGCGTGCATGGAAGCACCGTACGTACCAGTAGCTATCTTGCCTAGCCTGCCTGCCTCTGAATCTCAGCAGCAGTCTGCTGGATCGGAGTGAGTAGTAGTACTTGTTAGTTTCGAGTTCTTATTGTGTGTGTGTGCCTTTGTTTAGTTAATTTGTTGTGTGTAGTATGTTCTTCGATCCGTCCTCAGCTCGTCGATGGACAGATCGATGGATCTTCGTCGGTCGTGTCTTGGTTCATTAGCTTGCAGTCTCGATCTCTCTCGTAGTTGTGTGTGTGTGTCTCGAATCTCGATCGATCGATTTGCTAGTAAGGCGCGAGGCAGCCATGTTTAATCTGTGTGCACTGTCTCCATCACTGTAATATGCAGACAGTTGAATGCTTAATTTTGTGCTTCTGAACTAGTAATGGAATGGGAATGCATGGGCGTTCGAGACAGCCATGTTTATTATTTATTTCTCATAACCCAATAATTAATTGTACATATATTATTATATGTATGTATGTATGTTGGTTGGTTGATTAGTTCTCATGGACGTACATACGTACGCGTGATGATCAATCACCAGCTAATATAAGGCCGACTACTAGCAAGCTCCCTCTCCCGCCGCCCCTCCCCTCCCTCCCCTCTCTCTCCCGGTGCCGCCCCCTCCCCTCCCTCCTCTCCCTCTCCCGACGCCACCCCCTCCCCTCCCTCCCTCTCCCTCTCCACCCTCCCTCCCGGCGCCGCCCCTCCCCTCCCTCCCGACGCCACCATCTCCCTCCTTCTCCCCCCATCTCCCTCCCTCTCTCTCTTTTTTTGCACAGGTGGTGGCGGCGGCGGCAGCCCGGGTGGGAAGCGGCGGGCCAGCTAGGCGGTGGTGACAGCGGCGGGCGAGCAGTGGTGGGGCGAGCCGCGTGGTGGTGGTGGCGAGCAGCGGCGAGGCTTGCCGCATGGCGGCGGCGGCGGGCGAGCAGCGACAGGGCGAGCCACGTGGTGGCGGTGGAGAGCAACGGCAGGACGAGCCGCGGGGTGGCGGCAGCGGCGGGGCGAGCCACGAGGTGGCGGCGGCGGCAGGGCAGACCGCGTGGTGGCGCTGGCGGCAGCGGGGTTTTTTTTATATTTTTCAATTTTTTTGCCGAGTGTCGGTGCCCAAAAAACACTCGGCAAAGTCTTTGCCGAGCGCCCGATAAAAAACACTCGGCAAAGAAACGTTTGCCGACTCTGTGTACGCCGAGTGCCGTTTACCGAGTGTAACACTCGACAAAGGCTTTGCCAAGTGTTTTTTGGGCTTCGCCGTGTGCCGTGGGCACATGGCAAACTTCCTCATTCCAGTAGTGAAACATACACGTACATAAAACAACACTACAAGAAATATGTGGTTTTTTGACATTCTATTTATGTCAAAATATATGGAATTAATGTCACAACTTAAGATTTATGACTTTCAGTTGACAAAAATTCAAACGTCAAAAAACCACCGGATTATGTGACGTTTGTATATTTATTGTCACAAGCTTATGACAATGGATTTTAGTGTCATATAGGTTTATGACTTTGGTTTATAGTCACAAAATCCTAGGCCTTGCCACATGGGGAAATGCCACGTAGGATCAAAAGCTGACATGGCACTGACATGGCAGGAAAAAAAACGTCACAAAATGAATTTTGGCCTACTAAAGCCCACATAGCAGGTAGCCTCTTCATGGGCCACAAGCTTTTTAGGGTTGATATTGCCTAGTCCATTATTTCATTTTTATTTTTTTTGCCCATATTTTTTTATGATTGCGCAGCCCGAGCAACTTTTTATTGTCACTAAGTCAAAATGCCTAAAACAGAATGTCATAAACCGGATGATATAATGACATTATGACATGTTGTCATACTAAATACGTCAAGAAACCACACATTTCTTGTAGTGCAAAAACAACTAAGAAAAGTTCACCAATCAAAGCAAAAGCTTGAATATAGCATGCTAAAAGAGAGGCTCATTGCCACAGTCATAGGAACGCAAGAAACACCAAAAACAGAACTATGGTGCAAAAGAGATGACTTCCGAATGATTTATAATATATAAGAAAAGACTATAGGCTTGATTGATTTTTACTTAAACAAAACCATGCGAATGATATTAATTTAGTCAAATTATATTCTAATTGAAAAGCTGAGCTAAACTAGTTGATGAGAGTTAAACCTAGGGGTACGCTAACTCCCCGGTAAGGAATTGCCGATTGACCACTACTAGAGAACAGACTTTAGAACGATGTCCCAATTTGGCATTAGCCTCGGCATTTTTTGCCCTCGGGACTAGAAGGCCTTTAGTCCCGGTTGGTGTCTCCAACCGAGACTAAAGGTCCCTGCCCAATGGCTAAACCGGGACTAAAAGTCCTCCAACCTTTAGTCCTGGTTGGTAATACCAACCCAGACTAAAGGTAGACCCTTTAGTCCCGGTTGGTAACACCAACCGGGACTAAAGGTCACCGGATGGGTTAGTTCAAAAGGAAAGCATCCCATCCATTGTTAGATGTGTTGTGTAGGTGGGGTGGTAAGCTACGCGCGAGGCAGTGCATGAGGTCTTGGGTTCGAATCTCACAGGGCGCAGCGGTGGGAGGCATTATTTTTTTTTAAAGCTGGGAGGATCTTTAGTCCCGGTTGTGATAAACCGGGACTAAAGAACAACACCTTTAGCCCCAGATTGCTAGTCCCGGTTGGGAAACCGGGAGTAGAGCTAGTTCCCAACCGGGACTAGATCTCATTTCTGTAGTAGTGGACGGACCCCTGACCGATCTCACAGATCGCTCGGGGCTATACCCATTGAGTACGCCACGCGTGCACCCTCTGGAAGGACTTAGGCCTAGCCCGAGCGCGTCTACCGCCGCTACTCGGGGCTCAAGAGGGCCCAGGATGCCAAGCGACGGTGGCCCGAGCTTGACTCCGACCTAGCACAGGCCCAAGCTAGCGCCCGGGCGTCCGGGCAGCATCCTGAGCTATCAACCCCATCGAGCATTCGAAGCTCGGCGGGCGTAGAGATTCGACAGTGCCTCCAAGACAAATGGACATGAGGCGCTATCCATCACTCCTCCGATAGGGTCACGCAATCAGCGTGACACAACACAACAAGCAGCTTCACTGACTCTAGGGATGGTAGGTCTTTAGGGCCCACTCATCAGCCCCTCAGGTCGAGGCTCCTTCGCGGCCAAGGAGGCCTCGAGAAGGTTCACCTGGGGGAGGTTGGACCGCAGCAAACAACCCCTAACTGTCAAGTGACAGGCGGCCCCAGCAGCTCCTCCAGCTCCTCAATGGACAACGAAGCCGAGGTCCATCCATGCCGCAGCAGCACCCTCCTAAACCCGGTGCATGAAGACCATAGACCGAAACACCAAGCCAACTTGTACCCGACCTTCCTCAAAATATAAGGGGAGGGTCGGCTCCCATAGAGAGGGAGAAATGGGCCGAGAGGGCAACAGAACAGAACTGAGAGCCTGATTGGTCACTAGAGAGAGATCCTATCCCGAGAAGCAGAGGAACAACGGAGTGTTCCCCTCGGCCACCCAGCTAGAAACAGGGCCGATTCCTCACTTGCCAGGAAGAAACCTCACCGCCGACGAGCCATAGGATAGCACCGAGCGATCCTCTACCAAATCCCCGTTCTCCTCCATTGTAACCCCCCGACTTGGGTGCTCCTGAACAGATAGAACACCAAACTGCTGGATGTAGGGCCTCGATAGCCCGAACCAGGATAAACCACTATGTCTCCCTTGAGTTTTTGAGTACCCGAGCCACCGGAGACCCACACTTCCAACATCCGACGAACAATCACGATGCTTGCCACGGCAAAGGACCCACAACAGCTGGCGCGCCAGGTAGGGGAGCGCATCGAGTGTGATTATGACTCTATGGTGGTCGGAGCCACCCGCCTGCCAATCCTTTGCAAGCGCGGTGCTGCCCCGCATGGTGGCGTCTGCTTCTCCGGCAAGATCGCTCGTCGCCGCACCGGCACCTTTCGTCCTTGGCAAAGTTATCAACTTTGGGAGCTTGGACTACGTCGGCGATCGCTACGGGTGAGCTTCACCCCCCTCAAGGAGACAATGCTGGTGGGAGCGGACCTCGAGGTCCTCGCCCGTAGATCTGGCTCGGGCTAGGCCCGAACCCCACCGTGTTGGAACAACACCGGATATTCTACATGCTGGTGACGTCCACTACCAAATAATCACCGGTGAGGTGGTTTCACCACCCGACCGCTTCGGTACTACCTCCATGATCTCGTATCTGGAATCGGAATCTGGCGGCGACGTCGTTCCAGCTCAAGTTGGAGCACCTCGTCTGCTGAGAGGCGCCAAGTGGCGCCATCCTCTCGGGGCGGCGGGGACCGATTTCCCTCTCTGCACAACTTCCTTGAGGTTCTCTCTGGGTATGGCCTCGAGTACGACTCGACAACGTCGACTACTTCTTCTCCCTCCCCCGAGTGCTTTTTCATCAACGGCAGGGCTGCCGCCGCCGATGCTCCCGACTTCACACCTCCGGATCTGAGCCCCACCAGCCACGCGGCCTACCTCAAGGAGAAGGATGCGCGCCTCCAGTCCTGGCAGGTGGATCTCGACGCCGCCGAAGCCGAGCTCAAGAGGACGAGGGAGGAGATGGAGTAGCAGCAGGCCGCTCTTCGCGACAATGACAACCGCACGGGGGTGCCCAGCACGCTGCGCTTCCCCCACGCGGCCTACAACATGGTAGCCGCCGCCTGTCGCCTCGGAGACATCTCCGACACGCCGGATCCGAAGAACAACGAGAGGCTCCATGAGGCAAGGCGGCTCCTTGACATTGCCCTCGAGCAGCAGGCGGAGAGCTCGGTGTCCCGTCACCGCGCCGCTGCTTCCAGGCTGTCCCAGCCGACGCAATAGACATAAAAAGAACAACATCAAACATGGTGCGCGTAATTAATATTATATGTCCCCATAATGTTACCATAGACATAAATACAACATCAAACATAACGCACATTGTTGCAATAAATAACACAACTTATTACAATTACAATAATTTGTCAAAATATTGGTGGCCAAGATCGACCATGTCTTCAAACAAAATAAAAAGAACAAAACATACAAATAGTAATGTGATCTCACATGACACCATGCATGGTCATAGCTGTCACAACACGGATTAGACACAAATAGAATAGAAAAACAGATATTAATTAAAGGATGTTATCGTCGTCGTCGCTGTCTGGCCATGGGAAGATATAATTAATCTGCATATTCCCAACTTTGGCCACATTCCAGATATCATGGAACTTGTCCACGATGCCGGTCTCGTCAGCTGAAGACGATGACGTCTTGTTCCAGCAGTCCTTCTCGCAGGCTGGTGGTTTCTCGTCTTTAAACTTGGCTCTGACATCCTTAAAGGTGAGATAGGCGTTCATGTCGTCCTGCCCAGCAGGGAGATTGACCAACACCTCGGCCATTGACTTGATGTCGGTGGCGCAGGCCTTGAGGCAACTGGAAGGCTTGCCCTTTGCTGCAGCAAGCAAGGTGTCAGCAGCAAGCAAGAGAGGGGAGGGAGAGGAGGGGGAGGGGCGCCGGCGGTGGGAAGAGAGGGAGAGGAGGGGGCGGCCACGCCGGGGCCGGATCCGGCCTCTCCCTGTGCCACCGTCGCCGGATCCGCCCGCGCCGGGGCCGGATCTGGTGGAGGCGGTGGTGGAGGGAGGGAGGTGCGCCGGCGAGGGAGGAGGGGAGGGCGGGCCGCGCCGGCGAGGGAGGAGGGGAGGGCAGGCCGCGCCAGCGCCGGAGAGGGAGGAGGGGAGGGCGGGGCAGCGCCGGGGCCGAGATGGAGGAGGGGGCGGCGCGTGCGCTTGCGCGGGGAGGGGGCGGCGCGTGCCCGTGCGCGGAGAAGGGGAGGCGTCGTGCGGACGCGGCGTGGGGAGAAGGGGATCGTGCGGGGAGACCGAGGGGGCGTCCGCTGGGGTTAAAAAAAATTCGTTTGCCGAGTGTCCCAGATCTGGGCACTCGGCAAAGATTTTTTTTTCATTTTTTTTCTCTTTCTTTCTCAGAAAAAAATATTTTTTTACTGTCCTAGATCTGCGCACTCGACAAAGTTTTTTTTCATTTTTTTTCTCCTCTTTCTTTTCCAGAATTTTTTTTACTTTGCCGAGTGTCCTAGACCTGTGGACTCGGCAAAGATTTTTTTTTTCATTTTTTTTCTTCTCTTTGTTTCCCAGAAAAACAATATTTTTTACTTTGCCGAGTATCCTAGATCTGGGCACTCGGCAAAGATTTTTTTTTCATTTTTTTTCTTCTCTTTCTTTCCCAGAAAAAATATTTTTTCCTTTGCCGAGTGTAAAAAAGAAAACACTCGGCAAACCCCATCTTTGCCGAGTGTTTTTTTTGACACTCGGCAAACCGCCTCTTTATCGAGTGTTTTGATGGCAGCACTCGGCAAAGAACTTGTTTGCCGAGTGCCCGAGAGAATACACTCGGCAAATTTGACGTTTCCGGTAGTGCTTCATCTTCTAACTCGCCAAACAAACTAGCCACCGATATCTTCTTCCATTTCAGAAAACCATCCTTCAGGTGCTGGCACCATCCCTTGATTAGCACGAACAACTCTGCACCAAACCTGAGGACATGGCAATTATGCTGAACCTGGACCCCATACAGGCACACTTATTTTTTTCGAGAACAAGGCTTAGAACACCTTGGTCTAAAACCTGCATGGAGTCATGGAGTGAGCTCCACCAAATTTCCCAGGAAGACTCAACCATCTGCTTGCACTCCCAGGCACTACCAAACTGAAGTTGGTAACTCACTTTCCACAGACAACTCCCAACCAAACTGTCCACGCACCCAGCCACAGACATACTAAGGATTACCCAAACCTGACTTGACAGGTTACTGTTGGTACTAATCTATATCTATCTATTCTGTACTATAAAAGAGCGAAGGAATTATAAAATACCTGTCACCTAAAAGCCCTCTACCCATCTCCACGGCGGTGCTGGTCCGCATCTACCTCGTGAAAGTTTCTGCAGAATATTTCGACTGATGCCATGCAGCGATGACGAACTAAGGGGACGGTGCCACTACTGAATTACCGAGAAGCTGGCCAACAACTGATCTTGCATCCAAAACATATCTACTCAGGTATAGTTAGTGGCAATAATATTGAAGTAAAAAAATTATTATCTGATTACATGTTGTGCCGTTTCAACACAATTGCATTTTTGTGTCTGTAATTAATTATTTATTACTAGACTTGTCTTTAGAAATGGTATGTTCGGGGCATCAATTGTTCCTTTTATTGTACTATTGTATATATTTATATCTTGCTTCCAGACATTATATCCTGTATACAGGTTTTAGTGGCTCAAAACAATTAGTAAACTAACAGTTTAATTACACATTCAGTATTTATTTTAATTTGGCATATGGAAAGCAACGTTTACTATATATTATTACTTGCAGACCTCCCCCATTGTAAGATATTCCTGAGTTTTGTCCCTTGATGTTATCGAATGCTTCTTTTTGTGTCCAGATTTCAGCCAGCACTCAGTAGGATCTAGGTAAGAAATCAACTTTAGCATTGGTACACTGGCTCTTGGCTGTTGCTATAGCAATTGCATAAAATAGGCCAGAATCTTTGGTTGATCCTGTTTCTGGCTGTTGCTATCACCTCTTTAAGTTTCAAGGTTCATCTGCTTATTTGTAGATTCATACCCCTCTTTTTTACAAAACAGGCAATGTACTAGAAGTAATCAAGAGGAAGATGTTAAACTTTTAGCGGAAGTAATCAAGAGGAAGACGCTTTTAGCGGTTTCATATCAATTTGAGACTCTGTAGAATGGAGAGGAAATTCCATCCAGATTGATTTGACTTTAGAAGCTTGCCTGCTTGGGCAATATTCTGGTGTTCCTATTGCTTGCCCTTTGATCTAGAGAACCTCCAACGTTCAAATTTGCAGTGACTATGCAATGTGGTTTGTGTCTTTTCTAGAACATTTTGGTAAAAAGTTTGTCAGATTTGTCATTGATAAATTATTATAGATATGCAAAAACAAGCGAGCAAAAATGGAGGGTGGTATCACACCCCTGTGGGGCCCTCGAGAGATCCGGGCCAAGAGTGCTCGAGGCTGGGGCACCTAGTAGGTGCAAACGTTGAATGGAAATAAACGGTAAGACCGAGTTTTAGGGAAAGAAACGACGTAACTATTCGATGTTCCATGTGTTGGTGAGAACGTTGCCGTTGTCATCCTTCAGGTCAGTAGATGCCTGGTCGGATCACCTTGGTCACCGTGTAGGGTCCTTCCCATGGTGGAGAGAGCTTATGTTTCTCTTTGGTTGACTAGGTCCTCCGGAGTACGAGATCACTGACCTCGAGGATCCTCCCCCTGATTTTTCCTTCATGGTACTTGCGGAGAGTTTGCTGGTAACGAGCGGAGTGGATGATGGTCGTCTCACAAGCCTCCTTGAGCAGGTCGACCGCGTCCTATTGAGCCTCCGTGGTTCGGTCTTGGTCGAAGGCCTTTACTCTTGGGGCGCCGTGATCGAGGTCGGAGGGCAACACTGCTTCGGCTCCGTATGCGAGGAAGAAAGGGGTGAACCCTATGGACTGGTCTGGGGTCGTTCTTAGGCTCTAGAGGATCACTGGGACCTCTGCAATCCATCGCCCGACATACTTTTTGAGTCGGTCGAAGATGCGGGACTTGAGTCCTTGGAGGACCATGCCATTGGCCCGCTCGACCTGACCGTTAGTACGCGGGTGTCTAATCGAGGCCCAATTGATCCTGATGCCGTATCCATCATAGAAGTCCAGGAACTTCTTCCTAGTGAAGTTTGTTCTGTGGTCGGTGATGATACAGTTAGGAACATCAAACCGATAGATGATGTCAAGGAAGAACTTGACCGCCTCTTCTGAGTGGATATTGGTGATGAGCTACGCCTCTATCCACTTGGTGAACTTGTCCACCGCTATGAGTAGGTGAGTGAAGCCGCCCGGGGCCTTTTTGAGGGGTCCGACCATGTCGAGGCCCCAGACCACGAATGGCCAGGTGATGGGGATCCGGAGCCTAGAAGATATTCCCGCCACTGAAATTGAGCGTATCTGGCAACAAGGTCACCGCTAGCCCACTAAGGCTCCACCTTCCCTCTCTCCTTGTCTCGCTCGACAACAACATCAAAGATAGTCTAGAGCCAAATACACTCAAAGTTAGGGGAGATATGCATGGACAGCCGGCGGTAAGCATGAAGCGAGCCCCCGGCACCACCGCGTTAGGAGAGAAGGAGAGGCATGCTCACGGCCGGACTCGTATGTCGCCGCGGCTCGACTCGCTTGGATCTCCTGGTGCTCCCCCTCCATTCTCACCACACAGTTACAGAGAAGAAAGAAGTGACAGTCTGATAGGGAAAAGGAGCGGACGACACCCACAGACAAAGATGTATACAAGAAAGAACCACAGCCACTCATCTCACATTCGATGGACCACGAAAGTTGACTGACAAACTATCAGGCGACTGCTACCAAGTAAATCTATTTTTCAATACAATCCTAGAAAAACTCCTATCAGTTTGACGTTCAAAGAAGAAAAGAACTCAATCAACCCTATCATATTAGGGTTAATTGAAATGAAGCCATTATAACTTCCATGGTTTTGGGGAATGCAACTATAATTCACCTATTCTCATATGTGCCATTATAATTTTGATGCTTCACTACCCTATACATTTGGTGCGGCCTTGGCCTAGCTGCAGGGCAATGGATGCATACGGTATTTTCGTATATATGGAACATGCTGCCTCTCCCTCTTTCCCGTCCGCCGCCATCCTTATTCTGCATCCATTGCCACACTGCTCACTATCCTTCATATCTTGCGCACCACGGAGGCCCCTGACATTGGCCTAAAGCTGCCTCTATCGCCATCCACCTCAAATCTTCTCCTCCACCGATAGTCATCTCAGGCCCAATCCTTGCTGCTAGGGTTAGTGTTTGATAGGGGAGAGGCAAGGATAGGACAACGAGAGTAAAGATGGTAACGGGCACAAAATACCCGTGTACCTACGGGCATCTACCCGGTGGGCGCGGATATGGTCGCGAACCTATGCCCATGGGCATGGGCGCGGGTATAGAGTTGTACCCAACGGGCAATGGTGAAAGCTCTAGTTTGATTTTGGTGAATTGATGAAACCCTAAGTGCTAACCTAGTTTATCAAAGTGATTATGAGATAGGTAGCACTATTCCAAGTGGTGGAGCAATGGTGAAGATCATGATGCTGGTGTGACCATGGCGATGATCAAGTGCTTGGACTTGGAAAAGAAGAAAGTGAAAAACAAAAAGTTCAAGGTAAAGGTGAAACTTGATAGGAGCTTTTTGGTTTGGTGATCGAGACACTTAGCGAGTGTGATCACATTTAGGATCGATAGCCGTACTATTATGAGGGGTGAAACTCATATCAAAATGCGGTTATCAAAGTGCCACTAGATGCTCTAACTCATTGCATATGCATTTAGGATCTAGTGGAGTGCTAACATCCTTGAAAATGTTTGTGAAAATCTGCTAACACAAGTACCCAAGGTGATACACTTGGTGGTTAGCACATATGATCAAGGGTGGCGAAGTTGGTGTTGAGAAGGGGCTGTCTTGAGGTGACCGAACGCTGCTCTAGCAGCGACCGGAATCAGCAGTCACATCCAGCCAGTGACGCGCAATGAAGGCCACCCTCGGTCTTTTGACCGGACACCAAACAGTGAATGTGTGGGGGTATTAACCCCTATACCCTTACGGCTAAGCTTGGGTTGGCCTGGATCGATAGGTTCAGTCCACCTGAAAGATGACGTGCGGCCCAGTTAACCTGATCGGAGTCCCGCACAAGGAATCAAGACGGATTTGGCGACCAAGCAGGATCCTGGTCGATTAGAATAGGAATCCTTATCCGGCCACATATGGCAATTGTAACCGACTAGGATTAGTTTCCAGATCTGTAACCCTGCCCCCCGGACTATATAAGGCGGGCAGGGGACCCCTCTAAAAATCATCTCTCATTGACATACAGCAATACAAATCAGACGCAGGACGTAGGTATTACGCCTTCTTGGCGGCCGAACCTGGATAAAACCTCGTGTCCGCCTTGCGTCCACCGTCTTGTTTGGGACTTGCGCGCTTTTCTGCCGCCGATAATCTACTACCTTGGGCATACCCCTAGGTAGACTGCCGACCATATTTAAATTCGACGAAGGCGCGCCGAGTAGGGGAGTGCGATCGCTCTCCAAGCGAACAAGATGGTCATCATCTCCGGCTCCATGGCTACGCCCGGACGGCCTCACGTTCACCATCGGCCGGATCACTTGGACCACCGCCCACGACGTCTCCATCACCATGACCGAGGCGTAGATTCAACCCGCGCCGACGACTACTTCACCTGCATCGGCTACGGTTCCGACCACGGTGAATACGGCTCCGACCACGGTGAATACGGCTCCGACCACGGTGAACATGGCTCTGACCACGACGAACACGGCCTCGACCACGATGGATCTGGCTCCGACCACGGTACATCGGGCTCCGACCACGCCTACAATACCACGCCGACAACCCGTCATCCGCTTCCCGCTACGGAGGGAAGCGGATCGACGACACCGACCCGCTTCGACTCCATCGATCGGGTAACAGCTCCCACAACAGATCTATCGACCAGCTCGGGCCAGTCGTCCTGCACGGCTTGGAACAGATCTTGTGGTCGTATCTACTCCTGAGGGGCGCTCCGCTCGTCGCCAGCCAGCCTTCGCGACGGGCCTCCGACTCTGCGAGTACGAAGTCCCGACGGAGAACCACGGTCTAGCCCTACGGCTGCGCGAACGCCGCCTTCCTTGACGCTGCGTGCAACCCACGACGCCGCTTGGATCTATGTCCCACACACCGATCTCGTCCGAAGCCATGCAACATCGTCAACATGGTCCGGATTGAAGATTATCAAGAAGGGTCTGCATCCACACACGGTCCGAGAGGGTGACTCCAGCTCCTCATCCAGCATCGCATCCAACGCATCTGTCCACACCGAG